AATAATCTATATACATATATAATGTATAATAATTGAAATGTGACTGTGTTTTGCAAAATACTAGTCGACTAAAACACAGCCAAGACAAGTTACTTTGTACAGACTAAAGGTCAGTTTTATGTTATTTGATACGGTAACATGAGTACACGTGAGTCGTGTCATTGTAATTTCTGTATTGTTAGCCAGGCACGACTCAAAGGTCAATATAATAAAAATAATAAATAAATATATATATACGAATGTATAATGTTATGAGATTTAAGCTATTTCGTCTAAAAATTTATGTTTTCGTGTTATAATCTGTGTTCATTCTAGAATGAGAGAGACATAATTTATATTTATTTCTTAATTTTTTATGGTGGTTGTGAGATCAGTCAAATCTACTGAACCTGTACAGAGATTAATTACTGAAAATAACAGATAGAATATAAAGTTTTTTTTCTTAAGAAACATTTGATAACTATCTGGACATTATAAAGATTTTGCATGTGAAATTTAAAAATTTTCTGATGTTTAAAAGTATTTTTAATCTTAAAATGAATATTACTTTGCATGATAGATAGGCAATGTGTGAAAAGAAAAAAAGACATGAGAAAAACATTGCTTTACAAACCTTAAGACTTAAAAAAAATTTGATAATTTGCATATGAAAGCTTTGTAATGTTTATTGATAATCTGCTAAATTTTGTTAACAATCGCTTACTAAGTTAAAATTTATAGCATGAAAACTATAACAAGCACAAAATGGTTATGAGGTTGGTCCAAAGGACCAAGTCCGTGCTGAAAGAGTTAATGGCTGTGATTCCTAACCAATTTGTGGTTTTGTTTCCACATTTATGGAGTTCTTGTAATTGGAAATGTAGTCATTCTTCAGATTTCAGATAGGTATGTTATTGTTCTTTTCCACACTGAATATTGGTTAATTATAATTGCTAACACTGTTAGCAATTTTTTTTACATAAAGCACTCTTGATTCAAAGTATTTCTTCATTGAAACAAAATCTTATTATCTTAAAAAAATGCTAGTTGTCTAGTGGCATTCCACATGCTTGAGGATGTAGTTGGATAGAGGACTTTGTTTCCTTTGCTGTAGTTTTGTGTTCTTTAATAAGTCTTTCACGAGTTCTAATTATTGAACCTGTATATCCTCATTCACATCAAGGATAATTATACATACAGACCAATATGTGATTGTTTTAGAGTAGGTTTTCTGTCATTAACTCAGAATATCTGAATTTGTAGCTGTGGTTAGAAAATAATTCTTATATCAACATGTACTAGTATGTTTGGCTAGATAGGGTAGAGTGAGGGTCAGGAGATAAAATGGCAGCATTGGTAGTTCATTGTACTTCTTTATTGTTACACTGTTTAAAACTTTCAACGGAAAGCTATTTTTCAGTAACACCATTTTGATTTTCATAACATTATTGCACAACTGAAAAGCCCTGTGGATTAAAATGAAAACAAAGTTCTTTTAAAAAAAATTTTAAAATTAAAATATAAAAATGGTAAAAGTATTTTTTGTGATAACCATTAACTTCAAACCATTTACCATGGTCTGTAATCTTAGTGCCTAAAAAAAGGGTGTTCTGAATTCACATACTAAATTTAATATATTTATGTGGTTGTTTTTGATACTAAAAATGTAATAAAATATAACTTAATGTTGAACTGTTGGTTAAATATTATTAATGTATTATCAATTTATTTTTGTAAATTAGAGAATTGTATTTGTCTGGACAGTTCTCCATTGTGTGTTGACACATGTTCTACCATATCTAACCATACACACTAGTAGCTTAAAGAAAAGAGTAAGAAAAGTGATAAGAAAATATCCACAGGTTGATGTGGGAATTATTTTCAAACCACAACTAAGAATTCAGAGTTTTTTTTGATTTCTATTGTAAAATTATCATGTATTGTGAATGAGATTATGTATAAGTTCAACGTTTAGAACTTTTGAAACACACATTAAAAATCATGCAAAATAAACAACAAAATCTTCTGTTCAACTTCGTGTTCAAAGTCATGTAGAATGCTAGTAGACAACCAACACTTAGTTTGAGATAATAGCATGTAGTTTGAATGAGGAAACACTTCAGATCAAGAAGTCAATCTGTTAAACTACTTCAACCAATCCTGAAGATGAATTGGAAGGTTTTGCCATTAATGCTGTAAATGTGAGTCATCATGAAATTATGAGGTTATAATTCCTTTAAAAAACACAATGGATGCGAGTGTTATTACAGCTGTAAGTCTACAGTAGTAGTTCCACATATCTGTATAATAATTCAGATAAATAGCTTTGTTGAATGAATACATGGAGGTGTTGTGGAGTTCCTCTGTTTTGTAGGAGGAAATGTGTTTATTATGAAATGATTTAACAGAGCTCTAACTTCTTCCTCATTCAGAACTAGTTTATACATGGTAGTGAGGATAATGATGAACATGTTTTGTACCATTCATAAGGTATAAGTAATTATTAATTTGTTACTTAATTACATACTAATTATTATCTAGTGATAAGTAACTACTATTTTATAATTAGTCTTAGGTGATCATGCAGGTTACTAAACCAGGACAACAATTTATATCCGCTTACCACTAATACATAACAAAAAATGTGTTCATCACATTCACGTTTCACATTTTTACACATTTGGCTCTAAGTCATTGTATAAACTTTATTATAACTTTTTGAATCTGTAACTCCAAAGACTAGAAGAGTATTTAATTGTATTTTATAAATTGAGGCTTTTACCAGACATGAGGTTATTCTCCTGTATACAATTGAGTATTTCAAAAAATATCCATTTAGCTTTTTGTTTCTTTTTTCCATAAATAATAGAATAAAATGCTTAGTCCTTGGGAGTGATTTTCAGGGACTATGGAAATCATACAAAACCAAATTTATTATTAAATAGTAACTTTTACCCAGTGATACTTCTTTACTTAACATAATTAAAGTATATCTTTACATTTTTTGTTACATTGTATATTGAATAAGATATCTATATCTAAAACCATTTAGTTAACTGTAATATTGTATTCATGCTTGCACTTTCCATTTTGTGGCTGCGATCGTAGGAAGCCATGGGTCATGAGGGTGCCAAGCCACAGCGTGTTGTTTATCTCAGGAGTGGTATGATCCTTACCACAGGGTTTTCCAGAATGAGTGAACGACAGTACTCCCTGAGGAATGAGGTGAGAGTTGAAATGGTTTATTGGTAGAAACGAATTATTTGAAATTGTATACAAGTATATTAAATAGTAAACAATGAGAGAGGTAATATTTAAAAAAGTTCGGTTTTGAAATCTTTTTATAACTAAAGTAATTATTTATAAGAATATAAATATTAGCTGATCCCTCTACTGGTTCAGTGGTATGTTTATGGACTTCATGCTAAAATCTGGGGTTCATTTCCGTGTCATGGATGGAACGTAGATAGTCCATTGTGTAGCTTTGCACTAAAAAATGGCAGCATGCTGCTGTAAAGTGATTTGTGATGTCAAAACCATGATTTTATATAAAAAAAAATAATAAGTACAGCTTTACAGCATTTATGTGATTACTTAGAACTTAAAAATTTAAAAACTCAAAAACACAACTGTATATGTATAGAAGCTTATGTAAAAGTAGGAATCAATACTTTCTGCACGTGCAAATAAGAACATTATAGCATAATCTAGCTGTATGATTGGATAGGAATATTGTCAGCCCGTGATGAATGATCTTTGCATGCTTGTTATAGTACTTAAGATCAGTAATCGTTTATGCTTAAGTAATTACATTTTTCCAACTGATAATTTCATAACAGTGTTAAAAGTACAGATCAAGGCTAGGCTAATTGTACCTATCTGTTTCAAAGAAATTTTGTATTATAATAGATATTTATGTGGTATCATGCACAGAACTTACTTGTACTGCATTCTTTAGGCAACCCAGCATAAAGTGTTAGAATTCTTTACTTAATAAAATGTGAAATGTGACTTATTAATGAAATTACATGATATTTGTGAAATCTGTTTGATACAAGTTTTTTTGGCATCTGGAAAAGTATTTTTCAGGCTAAGGTGCTGCAGTTATTTACCCTAAAGGGGGCCTGAAGGACACCTGGACGGGTGACCTTTTTTTAACCACTCAAACCACTGTATGGTTATGGGTTGTCTGTCAGTCAGTCAGTAGATACTAAAGTGATTTCACATAAGGAATACTTAATGTTGAAATTTGTACTGTCGTGACATCAGTAAAGCATGCACATGCCATGAATTGCAAGGATTATGCACTGTATAGGCTACGACACATCATGACATATGAACTTCAAAAGCAAGAAATAGAAATATATGTTACTCTTAATTTTGGTTTTATTTACTCTTGAAACAGAACACTGTCAAGAACCCTGCAGAAGTACATCTGGTATTATTCATAGGATGCAAGTCTCATTTCCAAGCACTAGCGTCACTTAGAATGTTAATATTTTTGCTGCTGTTATTAATTCTAATGCTACGTAAACATAACTTTTAGATAAAGATTAAGTACTAAAGATATCTGTTTGTACAAACTGGTGTCTGTTGCTGAAAATGCCTTTTTCCCTTACCTATAAACTTTTATGAGAAATTGCTGGACTAAAACCCAGTTGATGCCCAATGCACTAAATTGGTTTGGATTGATACTTCCTCATAACTTTTTAGAAAATGATACATGACAGCCAATATGCTTTTTAAAGAATTGCAGTACACACTTCTAAATTCCATAAAATAAGTACAAATTCTTCCATTTTATTTTACAGTTGACACTGCGGTATTCATGGTACAAATAAGTTACTTTAGTTAAAAATTTGCAAAAATATAATTAGTAATTCTTTCAAGCTGAAAATCACATTTTTGAAACATCTCATTTTAAACTTACCTTTTAAAATCATATATAATTTTAGAATAAAAGTCTGGTCTTATCAAACATTTATATTTTAAAGCAGGCAAGGGCAACATCCTCCAGGTTGCGGGCCAGATAGCAAATTTTAAGTGTACTTGTGTACATATGAAGCAAAATCATTGCTAGTAATCCATATTTTAATATTATATGAGTTTTAATTTGTTAAATTTATAAATCAATATTAAAAAAAAAATTCTTAATTTCCACTAGTGTGAGAAATGACATTTTTTCTTTTATTTGATGGCTCTTACCAAACAAGATTGAAGGCTAGGAAAATTATGCTTTGTGTGAGTGACGATGATATTATAGCGAGTATTTACATTAAATTTCATACATATTGGAGGGGTGGTGAATAAATTAGAGAATAGGGGATGCCTGAAAATCAGACCCATCTTGCCACATCCACCTGTCACATTCTCTCTTTCAGGATTTGTTAATAGTTCTATCTTACATTTAATACTATGTTATTTATAATCAATAGAAAGCCAAGGTTTTAATCTATCATATGACATATTATATTATGTTGTTTTCTGTACAGAGAATTGTCAATTTCTCTTTTAGCAGAGATGAAAGTCTTTTGGATATATCCGGAAATCCGGATTATTTCTAAAAAATCCTGAAAACCTCCGGTTTTTTTCCGGAGAAACACATTTTTTAAAATTATTTATCGGATTTTGGTGTTCCATGCCATAGATAAGCGTTTATGCAATCGCGCGGTTTGTTTACATTCGGCGACAGGGCGCCGCCATTTTGTAGTCTCGCAATGCTTGCT